GCATGGCTGGCTGGGGAATTCTGGGAATTGAAGTCCACAGACCTTAAAGCGGCCAAGGTTGAGAAACACTGGATTAGCAGATAATACAGATGGGGAGAAGGCGCTGAAACTCACTCTGATGGGATACATGCTAACCTGCCCCCTACATTTGTTGGAATCAAATATGTGTTGTTGTTTTTTAACTGATGCAATTTGATTTGGCAAGCTGCAAGTCTGTTTGCTATGATATGTGAAAATAATTTAATACAGGCTGAATCACATTTTCAAGTGCTACTTATCTTTAGATGTTTGGTATTTAAAGTTTGAATGGAATGCCGTGCAACTTATCTTTGAGAGGCCATTGTCCAGAAAAGCTGTGTTTGGGTGTTAAATTAAATGAAACGTAGAATCATAGATTTGGAAATGACCTAAAAAGTCATTAAGTCCAACCCCCTGTGCACTGCAGGATTCACTACACCATCCCTCATAAATTATTATCCAGTCTCTGTTTGAAAACCTCAAGTAAAGGGGAAGAAACAATTTCCTGTAGTAACCTATGCCACTGATTGACCATTCTTACTGTTAATAAGTTCTTCCTAATGAACTGTGAGAGCCAGTTTGGTGTAAGGGTTAAGGCACTAGGCTAGAAACCAGGAAACTGAGTTCTAGTCCCACCTTGGGCACGAAGCCAGCTGGGTGACCTTGGCCCAGTCCCTCTCTCTCCGCCCTAGGAAGGAGGAGGAGGCCAGGGCAAACCATTTCTGAAATCTTGCCAAGAAAACTGCAGAGACCTGTCCAGGCAGTCACCAGGAGTTAAGACTGACTTGAAGGCACCAAGAAAAGAAAAGAAAAAAGAAAAGAAAATGGCTAATCTGTATCTACGTCCTTGAAATTTCACCCCATTAGTTCTCGTCTTACCCTCTGAAGCAAGTGAAAAAAAATCCAAACCCTCTACAGCCCTTCAGATATCTGAAGACAGCTATCATGTCCCCTCTCAATCTTCTCTTCTGCAAGCTAAACATACCTAGGTCTTTTAACCATTCCTCATAGGACTTGGTTTCCAGTCCTTTCACCATCTTGGTAGCCCTTCTCTGGACTTCCTCCGATTTATCGATGCCCTTTTGAAACCGGGGTACACAGAACTGAAGATGCTCCACGCGTGGTCTGACCAAGGCAGAAGAGAGCGGGATGATTATTTTCTATGATCTGGGTGCTCTTCAGGGTGCCCTTGGCCTTCTTTGAAGCGGCATGAATCGACCCGGGGAACTTGCGTAGGGTTGTCTGCTGAATGAGAAACCCTTTTATGAACTTTTCCCCTCTGTTAACCTTTCTAGAAAAAACAAGCCAGGCCCACCCGCCCCTGGCCTGCAGCCAGCAGTGCAACTTCAACCCTCCCGGGGTCAGAATTACTCTGCTTCCAGACAGGACAGATCCATCCCAGCCAGTTTAGCCGCCTCCTGAGAGAAGAAAAATGCTGTCATTGAACTTCTGGTCCTGATGGCAGCTGCCCTTCCCTGAATGAAGAGATGGGCCGACCGTCTTCCTTCTGGTTGCCACTGGAATGAATGCACCAAATACCACATCAGTGACAGTACTTAGCCTTTTCATGGGTTCCTTAAAAAAGCAGAGCAAAGTTGTGATAAACGTCTGCTGGTAGCACTCAGATCACTGTGACTTGTCTCCTTTCCTAAGGGGAAGGATGATTGCCTTGGTTCCTGTGGAAGGAAGGACGTTTACGCCCCATTCAGTTTTGGTGGGACAGAGTCTCCCTTTCGCTATAGGCACCGCAACACCTTTCCCCCAAGGGGGCCAGAAAACGTGGGCCCTGTGCATCTCCCCCTTCTTCCTAGAGAAGGCCAGCTGCAACAGTTATTTCCCACGTCTCAAAATCCAATGGCCCAGTTCAGCGGCGTGTATTCGTAATTGATGGCACCGAAGGATAGATTCATCAGACCTGATTCTGCTGAAAAGAAAATGAGGCTGGTTCGAGTTTCACCAAGTGCCTTGTCTACTTCAAAAATGCAGAATTCCCAGCTAACCTGTTCTGACATGGAGTACACCTCCTGATTAACAGTAAGTTCAGGACAGACAAAAGGAAGGACGTCTTCATGCAATGAATGATTAAGCCAGGAATATGTGCCTCGAATGTCGAGTGCCTGTCTCCGCTGGCTCGGATGGCTTTTTAAGAAGTCAGAACAAATTAGCCCCAGTGGCCAATTAGGGTCCAGGAGCAGAGGCAGGGCCAGTAGAAAGGAAAGATGGGCTCGGCTCCCTGGAGGGAGACCACTGTCAGCATGAAGAGTCCTCTGGCTGTAGTAATGCTCCTCATTGCTTTCCACCTCCTCTGAGCTTGCAAGCAAGGATGAGAGTGGGGAAACAGAGAGCACCCTCTTTCCTTCGCCTTCATGCTCCCTCTGGGCAGCGATGCTGGTTCGGTACAGGGAAAGGGAAGAAGTAAATAAGCAGAGGAGACAAGAAGGAAAAAGGAGGTGAACCCAACCCACTGAGGGCCTCTTGGACAAGGACCGAGGTGCCTGGGCAAGGGAGGAGGAAACTTTCAGGTTCTCAGAGTCTTGCCCAGGTGGAACTTTGCTTTGATCCAGCTGACCAGTTCTTATAGCCTACAGCCTCCTCCCCCAACCTGGGGCTTTTCAGATATGATATACTTCACGTTCTGTTGGCCATAGTGGCTGAGGATTATGGTAATTAGGACCCAGCACAGAAGGACAGTGACCCCAAGTTGGGGAATCTGTAGCTTGAGTTGTTCTTTCACTAATTGTTCTTCTACCTGTTGGAACTTTGTAACTTTAGTGCTTGCCTGCCTGCCTGTCTGTCTGTCAGTGTATGGACCAATATAATGAGAGAGAGTAATAATGACTTCTGGAAGTCTTGTCAAAATAACATTGTCTCCCGATAAAGTAAAGCGAAACACATCTCCATTTACCCACTTAGGCTCACAGAAAGTAGAAACTCTTGTTACAGATGCACTTACCGTATGTAGATGTGATCTTTCTGTGTGCATGAAAGAATACAGTGGTGCGTATGTTGTGAGGCTCATGATGTAACTGCAGTTGTCTGTGCATGGGTGCGTGCCTGGGTGCTTGCAGTATGCCTCCGGGAATATTTCTGTCCTTGACTAGCTGATCGGCCGGTTAAGTTTTGTATCTGGGTGTGGGAGTTGATGCGCCTTGGGGAAGCATCTAAACCTGAAAGGGCGAGCTTTGCAACTGTGAGAAGGGGCAGTAGGGAATACCGTTCCGTGCACTTTTCTAAAAGCTGTAAGGGAGGTCATTTAGATGGTTTCATTCTATTTAACGGACGCGTGGTACATGCAATTAAGTATGTTGGAGAGTAATGAGTACAAGCAGAAATACAATTGTGTGTGTGTGTTTGTGTGTTCATGAAAGTGTGTGTGTTTCCTCCTGTGAGTATCATCCATGCCTAGCCTTGTCTTCTGGGCATCTGATTCCACTTTTTCCTTTTCAGCGCCAGGATGCTCGCATCATTGTTGGGCTGTTTTACGAGACCGAGGCACGAAAGGTTTTCTGCGAGGTGGGTACCCGGAGTCCTCTGAGCAGACCAGAGAATGCAGATAGAGTATTTTCCTAACTCCATTCTGCTTGTGATTTTGGAAACTCAGCATTAGCGGGTATGGGGATAATGGCACTAATTTGGCTAACTGTTGCCTGCCTGTCGCTCTGGGGCTCGGCTTCGGTACTTGCTGGTGCTTAGCGCATAACAATCCCCCCCC